AAAAGGCCCTCGTTCTGGAAATTCAGTGCATTAGTTTGCAAGTGCTGCTATAACAAAATAGTGTAGTCTGGGTGGCTTACAAAACAGACATTTATTCTCCCATAGTTCTGAGGGCTAAAGGTCCAAGTTGAAGGTGCTGGCAGGATTCTGAGATCTCTCTCCTTGGCTCTCAGGTGACACTCTTGCTGTGTTCGCACGTGGTTTTCTTTCTGTGCACTTAAATCCCTGGTCTCTGCCTATGCTCAACTTTCCTTTTTTTACAAAGACACCAGTTAGATTGGATTGAGCCTACTCTAACTTATTTTAACTCATTTTAACTTAATCACCTCTTTAAAGGGCCCATCTTCAAATACAGTCAGATTCTAAGGTACTGTAAGTTAGGGCTTCAATGTATGAATTTCCAGAAGACACAATTCACACCATACCCTAGGGATAGGTAGTAGATTTGCAGTGGAGGAGACAAGGGTGGGTAGTCTGGACAGAGAAAAGAGCATATGGCATGGAAAAAAATATAAGACCACATGATATTTTCTAGTACAATTTAAAAATTCAATTATAAGACACAATATAACAGAATTATATTATGACTTAGATCCATTAAGAGAGTCAACTTTTAATGAAATGTTTACTCATTTCATCATATCCTAATTTATTTAACATCCTTAAACTCCCAATGAACTCTAATTGATTCTTTGGAGACAAGGCACATATTTCTGTGCTTCTGTGAGGGAGATGTCTCAATGGGCTGTTGAGAAAATACATATATTGAGTGCAACTAAGGCACATCAAACACCAGAGGAGAGGGAAAAGTGTCACTTCCAAGAGCTGGCCTTCCAAACCAAGGGTAAGTACTTGGGATCAGGGGCAGCTAGGTGGTCTGGCTTCTCTGTGACCTCAGCTGCAAATCAGAAGGGGGATATAGAATCTGGCATGGCTCTCAAAGGATTACTGCTGTGCCACACATGCACACAGGTGCACAAACAGGCACATGCAGACTCCCTAGTAAATCCGTTTAGTGATACATCCTGCTCTCCCTTAGAATTTGAAACACAGTCTTATATCTATGCTGAACCATTATATATTCACTTACGCAGTGAACAAATCAAAAAGACAAAAGAATGTGACTTGCTTTCTGACTCCAGTGACTGTGCTACTCTAAACTGCTAATGTATGGCATTTTCACTTCTTGGCACTAAATTCCAGGTGCCCGAGAGGCACATTCCTTCCAAAGAATTTTTCTTGCTCCAGTGAAGGGAACAGAGACCTGGGCTGCAGCAGGGGAAGATGCATCTTGATAAGCCACTCCATAGGAGATTCTTTAGCATGATCGGCTTGGGCATTTTCTGTGCCTTTTATTTTACATTGAGATATTTGGTAATTTGTTTCAAATTCAAGATGGACTTGCGGTCTTGGAAGTGAGTCTTCTCTTTTATTTACTCTTCCTTTTTATTATGATACAGCACACTGTGCTGGAAAAGTCTACTTGAGGATAAATCTTGATCTGGATGTTTTGAACAAGCCTAGAAATAGGCTACTTTGTTAAACCAGCTTCAAGATATGAAGGTAGTTAACCAATTACTCATTCAGAAATATTTACTGAGTGCCCGTTTGTTACTAGGAACTGTTCTTTGTGCTGGGATACAGCAATAAACAGGACAGATAAATATTTTGCCCCATTCTGGTGGGGAGAAGCAGGCAATCGATTTAATAAGCAGGAGTTAAGAGGATGACAATAGATGTGGGGGATAACACAGCAGCATCGGAGTAGAGCAATAAGGATGAGGATTGTTGGAGGGAAAGGGACATGGAATTTAAAGATGTGGTTAGTCTGGATCTTTGTCAGAAAGTGACATTTCGAAGGAACTTAAAGAAGATGGACGGGTGAGCCATGCAAACATCTGGAGAATAGTGTTTCAGGCAGAGGGAACAGAGAGTCAGAAATCTTTGATGCTGGGACAGAGATGGCACATTTGAGGAAAAGTAAGAAAGCCATCGAGGCAGAAGGAAGGAGGAGGTGGTGAATGTTAGGAGGTAAGTTTCTTTAGGTAAGAGAGGGACAGAAAATGGGTTTTAACTTCGAATAAATGAGAAGCCTTTACAGGGTTTTAAATACAGAAGCAATTTATTTATTTATTTAATGGCCCATGCTGGCTGTTGTATTGAAAATATATCGTAGGGAACAAGGGTGTAGATGAGTTAGAAGGCAATGACAATATTCTTGGCAATAGATCGTGGAGGTTTGAACAAGGGCGGTAGCAGTGGAGGTGGGGAGAAGTGGTCAGGTTTGGGATACATTTTGAAGGTAGGAAAATCACAATTTTCTGAAAGATTGAAAAGTAGATAGGAAAGAAAGAGAGTAGGTTGATTCCAAATTTTTGACTTCAGACACTGGAGGAGTAGAATTTTATTAATTAATAATGAACAATCAATTTTTGGAACTGAACATTAGGGGCTCAACTTTAAACATGGTTAGTTTTAAATACCTATTACTTTTCTCTTATTACAGAATATAAGCACCAGATAGAAACTTAGTCATCTTCCAGTGATAGAATTTTTAAATATGAAATCGTAACTAGCAAATTAATAGATTTTTGGGAGTTTGTGAACTCATTGAAATTTAGGTGTTTTTACATATGTACATAAAAATATTTGAGAATTATCACTGCTAATTTTATCAAGTTCTCAAAGATTTTCATGAGTCCAGAAATTTAAGAGCCATTACTTATTTGCAGATAAAGAAATTAAGAAATGCAATGGTTAGAAAATGTGCATATCATAAACTTAAATTTTAAGGAAACAAGAATGTGTATGCAAATCATGAGATGAAAAGAATGATGCAATTGTTTGCAGCAAATTTCATTTCTCACTCCAACCAAGGCAGTGGTAATGTCCTGCGTATCCAAAGATATATGCGTGTATAAGGACTGTCAATCTGCTCTGCTACACTGTACTGTAACAAGTGACGCTATGTACTGTTTCATGAAAGTTTTTCTTTTTTCTTTCTTTCTTTCTTTTTTTTTTCGAGACAGGGCATCTCTCTGTCACTCATGCTAGAGTGCAATGGTGCGATCTCAGCTTACTGCAACCTCTGCCTCCTGGGTTCAAGCAATTCTTGTGCCTCAGCCTTCTGAGTAGCTGGGATTACAGGCATGTGCTACGATGCCTGGCTAATTTTTAGTAGAGACAGGATTTTGCTATGCTGGCCAGGCTGGTCCTAAACTCCTGGCTTCAAGTGATCCACCTGCTTCAGCCTCCCAAAGTGCTGGGATTACAAGCATGGACCATGCCTGGCCCATGACAATTTCCATGAGATATTTTAACAAATTGGAATCATAGAAATTTGGTGATTGGAATAGTAGCAACCAAAATTTTCAGATGGGTGAATTGTGTTCCTGAGATGAGGAATTACTTTCCTAAGTCAGACAGGTGATTAGTGTCATGGGTATGTGTCAGCTATTGGACCCCGCGATCCTAAACCCTATGACACCTTTGTGAAATTACATGGGAATAGTTTACAAAAACATTAAATTCTAGGATCTTAGCAAGATATGGAATGATACCATCATTCTGGCTTAAATTGCTTAGTTATAGAAACTTGGCCTTATTTATTTATTTATGTTTTACAAGCTCCAACTTTATAAATAAGTCACATAATTATCCTCTCAGAATAATGATAGTTACAATTTTATACATTGATTTTATATCCAGAAAATGGGCTTTTTTCTTAACATGGATGTTCTCTTACTGTTTTGGAGCTAAATACATGTATTTTGGGGATTGTTAAGATACTTTCCCAAGATTACAGAACTAAAAAGTGAGATCTGGTTTTAAACTCAGACTTCATATCACTTGGGAAATTCTGCCTATACCAAGCCTGTCTTTTCTCACCTGGGCTTCCTCATATGTCTGTGGGTAACTCTTAGCTCCACTGTAGGCTGAATCATATAGAAGGGCCCCACCCACATGTTTGGGGGACTGCTTGCAGTCAGCTGGGGTGACAGAGAGAGCACAGCCAGATGTCTCATCCAGCAAACTAACCCAGACTTTTTTACATGATGGTTGTAGAATTCTAAAAGTATGAAGAGAAGCATAAAAAGCCTCTTGAAATCCAGGCTTTGAATGCACATGGAGCTGCCTATCTGTCAATCTATTGGCCAAAGCAAACCACCAAGCCATCCAAGTCTCAAGGGGTTAAGTATAAGAGTTAGAATAGTATCTGGTACATTGTCAGTAATGTATTTATATTTGTACTAATAGCAGCAGAGGTAGTACAGTATGCTAGCATTCATATACCTACCACCAAAATACTTGACACATAAGAAGTTTTCAATAACTTATGGAAACACAGTGAAATTTTTTGAGTACCCACTAATGTACCCAATATTGGGTTTGGTTATTTTTAGGTATGTTTTCTTTATTCAACCAGACAGTCTGTCAAGAAGTTATTAGTTGCTGAGCACGGTGTCTCACACCTGCAATCCCAGCACTTTGGGAGGCTGAGGCAGGTGCATCACCTGAGGTCAGGAGTTTGAAACTAGCCTGGCCAAGATGGTGAAACCCTGTCTCTATTAAAAATACAAAAATTAGCCAGGTGTGGTGGTGGGCATCTGTAATCACCATTACTCAGGAGGCTGAGGCAGGAGAATTGCTTGAACCCAGGAGACAGGTTGCAGTGAGTGGAGATCATACCATTGCACTCCAGCCTAGGTAGCAAAGGGAGACTCCATCTAAAAAAAAAAAGTTATTAGTTATTAGTCATCTTTTTGAGCTTCATTTTTCTCAAGATTTATGAGGATATGAAACTTGCCCTGTAATAAATAGTTAATAAGTAAAATTCCTAATTTTCAAATTATTTCTGACTCCGATTCCAGTAATTTTTCCAAGTCATGGACTGAAGTCCTATAATTCTAGATAGTAATGGAGAAAAAACCACAAGCTTCTTAGTAATTGTTGATTTAATTGATACCCTTGTTAACTTATGTCAATAGAAAAATCACTAAATGATACTTCTCCCTTCTCATGAAAGTCAGGCTTTCGCCTCTGTGGACATGGAAGTAGGAAATCGCACCATCCTGACTGAATTCATCTTGGTGGGTTTCTCAGCAGACCCACAGTGGCAGCTGATTCTGTTTGGAGTGTTTCTGATGCTCTATTTGGTAACCTTGTCAGGAAACATGACCTTGGTTATCTTAATCCGAATTGATCCCCACTTGCATATGCCTATGTACTTTTTCATTGGCAACCTGTCTTTTTTGGATTTCTGGTATACGTCTGTGTATACTCCCAAAATCCTGGCCAGTTGTGTCTCAAAAGATAAGCGCATTTCCTTGGCTGGATGTGGGGCTCAGCTGTTTTTTTCCTGTGTTGTAGCCTACACTGAATGCTATCTCCTGGCAGCCATGGCTTACGACCGCCATGCAGCAATTTGTAACCCATTGCTTTATTCAGGTACCATGTCCACTGCCCTCTGTACTGGGCTTGTTGCTGGCTCCTACGTAGGAGGATTTTTGAATGCCATAGCCCATACTGCCAATACCTTTCGCCTGCGTTTTTGTGGTAAAAATATCATTGAGCACTTTTTCTGTGATGTGCCACCATTGGTAAAAATGTCCTGTTCAGACACGAGGGTCTATGAGAAAGTCCTCCTTGGTGTGGTGGGCTTCACAGTCCTCTCCAGCATTCTTGCTATTCTGATTTCCTATGTCAACATCCTCCTGGCTATCCTGAGAATCCACTCAGCTTCAGGAAGACGAAAAGCGTTCTCCACCTGTGCTTCTCACCTCATCTCAGTCACGCTCTTCTATGGATCGCTGTTGTTTATGTATTCAAGGCCTAGTTCCACCTACTCCCTAGAGAGGGACAAAGTAGCTGCCTTGTTCTACACTGTGATCAACCCACTGCTCAACCCGCTCATCTATAGCCTGAGAAACAAAGATGTCAAAGAGGCCTTCAGGAAAGCAATAAAGACTATACAACCACAAACATGAACGTTATTCTCTTTGCAAATGCTGTTATTGAATTTTTCAGATTATTGGTTTATAAATGTGTTCATATGCATTTCTGTAGTTCAATTAAATCCAATAAGTCACATCTAAAACATTAAAAAGATTGAGCAAATGACTCTTTAATTGTTATTAGTTTGTTGTGATGTAAACAAAACAAACTAATCTTTAAAACTTATAGTATTGGGTTGTTTGACATTCTGCAATATGGTATTTTGTCTCAGCAGTATTATATTTTTCATAGATTTCATTGTGTTTGCTACCTTTGGGAGATCTTGGGAACAAAACAAATTTTGTGGTTTCATGAGTATATTTTGACTTTGAAGCTGGGTAAGCAATCTTTACTAGGTAAGAAGAATATCTGAAATGGTGACACTTCTGGAAATATGCTCAAGATTTTACAAATATTTAAGAAAATAATTTCCTCAAAATTTCTTCAGAAAGATCTAATTGAGCATATAGGAAATATCTTTGTAAACCTCATGCTTTATACATAAAGAAAATATTAGGAAAATGTTTAAGAGTTGTTTAGATTACAAACAACAATGACAATAAAACTATTTATAAATTTATGAATCAATATGTGTCTTTAGAATTGCATACCATCTTAAAAGAATGTTCCTCTTACATGGAGTGAGTACTCCGCAGTACTCTCTCTCAGACCACACAGCAATGTAACAACATCAAAATGAAACATATGAACAACAACAGTTACCACTGTTCCCTAGTTCGCTTTCTTTTTCCTTTGTCTTGACCAAAAAACATAAGTTGGATGTTTTTCCCTGCCCTGGACCAAGCCTGGGCCTTGAACATTCGTAAGAACTGATAAGCTTGTTTAGGTTGATGTCTGAAACCCTGAAAAATCAAACATGTTGCTAACCACATGGAAACTAGCCCTGGCTGTGAGCCCAATTCCTTAAACTCTTATGCAAACTCCATAACTGAACCCCCTTGTGATGGCAGGTTGGGTTGATATTTCATTTAGTAGCCTTTAGAAGACTGCAAGTTAAGGAATATTGGTAACATTTTTCAAATCAGAAGCTTGCAGCTCAGAGGTCAGCACTTGGTTAGTGAAAGGTTATAGCATTTGCTTTAATGAGCATATTTACAGAATTAATTAAAATTTAAAAATTTATGACAAATAGTTGTAGCCGTTTCATCTGTCTTTGCTTTGACATTTTTCATCTTTCTGTTCAGCTGCATTTATTTTCTAACACATCCTACGTCTTTGCATCAAAATAATCTTAACATTCCCTATGCCTCTATCACAAAGGAAGCTTTTTGAGTACTTGACCAGAAGGATTTGGGGTGTATTCCCTAAATATCAATGATCCATATTATGTTTTATTTTCATCTCCATAATACTCACTATGTAGGAAAAACATTGGGGGAAAAAACAAAGTAAAATATAATTTTACTTTAGGATGCCAGATGTATTACTCTTTCATTTTGCATTAATCGAAGATACTGATTTTTAAAAACTGTATCAATATCGAATGGAATCTACAATTCTGTAGTATATATTATAGTCTAATTTCAAAATTAAAAAAAAAAACAAAAAATGCAAAGAAACAAATTTTTTCCTGTTGAATTTTGTTCAATGGTAAAAAAGATACAAAAATCCAGTTCCACAACCTCTCTGAGTGGTTTGTTATCACTTAGCACTGGTTTGAGAACTTTATGTCAATTCAGACTTTGGATTATGCTGACTTGAAGAATTTTTGCAGAGCTTCTTTCACATCTTTATTTCTCAGACTGTAGATCAAGGGGTTCAACATGGGGAACAGCACAGTATAAAAGGTAGAAACTATTTTGTCCATCTTGAGGGAGTAGCTGGAACTTGGCCTAGAGTAGATGTAAAGAATGGAACCATAGTATAAAGTAACAGAGATCAGGTGGGAGGAGCATGTGGAGAAGGCTTTGAGGCGGCCCTGGGTGGAGCGTATCCTCAGGATGGTGGCGATGATGGAGAGGTAGGAGGCCAGGATGAACACTGTAGGGGAGATGACATTTGAGGCCAGCAGCAAGCACAGCACAACCTGGTAGCTCTCTCTCACATTGCATGCCAGCTTCACCAGGGGTGGGACATCACAGAAAAAGTCATCAATAACATTGTCACCACAAAAATCCAATGTGAATGTATTGCTGGTTAATATTATTGCATTGACAAAACCACCAGCATAGGAATATAAAACCAAACAGATGCACAATCTACTTGGCATGGCCCGTGCATAAAGCAGGGGCTTGGAGATGGCCACGTAGCGGTCATAAGCCATGGCGGCCAGCAGGTAGCACTCACTATAGGCAAGCCCAGCAGAGAAGAAAAATTGACACAGGCAGCCAGCAAAGGAGATGCTTTTGTCTTCAGAGATGCAGGTCACTAGGATCTTTGGGGTGTAGACAGAGGAGTACCAGAGATCCAGGAATGACAGATTTCCAAGGAAAAAATACATGGGTGTGTGGAAGCGGGAGTCATTACAGATCAACACCATGAGGGTGATATTTCCTGCCATGGTCAGAGAGTACACTCCCAGGAACACCACAAACAGTCCCAGCTGCATCCCTTGATCTGTGGTGAAGCCCAGCAGTATGAACTCAGCCACTGTGTGATTGTTCCTCTCCATGGCTTATGGATACTGCACCTACAAATAGAGTAGAAAAGAGTTTCATTGCCTCAACCAATACCAAATGATGGCATTTTCTATGCTAAGCACCTGACATGTAATCAACACTAAGGAAAAATTTTGGTTGCTTTGGGCAGGTGGTGGGAGCTTTCTGAGCTTCACTATATTTCTTGTGATAAAATGCATTTAATAACAGGAAAACCTTAATGCTATTAATATGGTTATTAATTTTTCTTGAAAAAAAATTTCTATTGAGCCCCATGTGCTGTTCCAGACAGTGGAATATAGCAGTGACGATGACAGGGCTGACTCCTATCCTACTGAGCTTTTATTCTAGAAGAAATAGATACATAAAAAACAAATAAGTACAGTATCAATTAATGTTCAATGCTAATAAGAAAATAAAACTAGGTGATGAGATAGAAACAAACCAGGAAGAGTTCGTCAAATTTAGACCCTGGGAGAAAAAAAATCCTTTTCCTATTCCCAGCTGTGGATGGATAAATTGTTCAGTGCCCATGAGATCTGGAAAGGTCCCTGTGGTTTAGAAGATGGTAACAATGTATTTTTCCACAATCACAGAAAAAATTATCCTCTCAGTTACTCTGCAGGAGTCTTTGGTACATTTATCTTAAATCTCAGGGAAGGAATCAGATTAAGAATCAGGGTGAAGCTTGGGTAAAGATCAATGAATTTATCTGTCTCTGCCAAGTAAAAAATGTGTGATGTCTTTATGGTCTTTGGGGTATAAAATGTTGAGACTCAGCATTATTTCTCGGTCTCTATAAGTAGTCATGGACATAAAATGTGGCACATATGCACCATGGAATACTATGCAGCCATAAAAAATGATGAGTTTGTGTCCTTTATAGGGACATGGATGAACCTGAAAACCATCATTCTCAGCAAGCTGACACAAGAAAAGAAAATCAAACACTGCATGTTCTCACTCATAGGTGGGTGTGGAACAATGAGAACACATGGACACAGCGAGTGGAACATCATACACTGGGGCCTGTTTGGAGGTGGGGGGCCAAGAGGAGGGAGATCATTAGGACTAATGCCTAATGCATGCGGGGTTTAAACCTAGATGACGGGTTGATAGGTGCAGCAAACCACCATGGCACATGTATACCTATATAACAAACCTGCACCTTCTGCACATGTATCCCAGAACTTAAAGTAAAATAACAATAAAAATAAAGAAAAATAAAAACCAGCCGCCATGAGCATGCATGATGCACAAGTTTTGGTAACTAAATACCATTTTTCCACTGAAAGGACCAAAAACTCCTTGAAGAAATGGCTAATCCAGGTTTGGATTAAGGAATGGAGGAGTTGAGTCTGGGACATCTTGTGGCAGAAACTAATATTCAAAAATTATAGAGACATGTTAAAAGGACCCTGAAGCTGGCATGAAGAACCTTCCATTGGATGCATTTTAGACAACTTTATATCAAAAAGTATAATGACAATAATTGAATAAAACATATTGAATATAAAATAAAAAAGAACACTCTTTAAAGGATGTTATCATCTATGGAGACTCCACTCCAAAACTTTGCATTTTACTCTATGAATCTTCATAGATTTTTCTAGGAATTATGTAAAGAAATGCAAAATAATGAAAATATTCCGAAGTGGTCAAATTACCTGTGGCAATACAGCTGTCAACTTGCTTTTTTTCACTGGGTTACTGAGGTGAAGTAGAGATAGAAGCCCGCAGGACTAAACTCTGTGAGAGGACGGATGTTTGTTTCCTTTGCATGTTACATATCATACCCCCACTGCCTAGAATAGTACCTGGAATATAATAGACATACGATAAATATTTATGAAATAAACAAATGGGTAACCCTGACTCAGAAGAGAAACAAGTCAAGAGAATTGATTTTCTGGGTGTCCTCTAATGATGTCATTATACCCTAAAACCACTAAATAATTGCTTGATATTCCACATGCATTTTGTGGCACAAGCAATCCCAGGTCACCTGTGTTTTTTTGAAGACAGGTGCAGGGACAAAGAAATCAGTCCACAATATAGTCAGCCTAACCAAATATTTGCTTTCCCAAATGGAGTGTCTGTGAAGAAAGTGTTTTTCATCTGAGCAACAGATTGCATGTCATATGTCATGACGTTTAGGAAGCATGCCTAAGACATCAGAGCTGACTGCTCACACTAGAGACAGATGGGATATCCTGGAAAAAGCATTTGTCTTTCAACGATTGAGAAGGATTCAAGTTCTCCATCATTAGTCAGCAATGTAAATTTCTTCACTTGTAATATAGGGATAATTTATCTCTTCTTAGGGTTGTTATAAAGGAGTTTACTCAAGTAAGGACTTTGTACGATACCTAGCACGTGATAAACACTAAACTAACAAGTGGTTCTCAAATTCTTTTCACCTAAGAATGCCCCAGTGTTTTTAACTCAGCAGGCTGCAGGTGAGCCCCCAGGAATCTGCTTTCATTAAAGCAGTCCAAGTGTTCGTAATGTGGATTGTCTGTAGATTATGTTGAGAAATGCTAAAACGAATATCAGTTGTTTTTATAAAAGTTTTCAGAATCAAAATCAAGAAAAAAAAGTGACAAATACGGCTGGGCATGGTGGCTCATTCCTTTAATCCCAGCACTTTGGGAGGCTGAGGTGGGAGGGTCTCTTGAGCCCAGGAGTTCATAAACAGTGTGGGCCACACAGTGTGACTATGTCTCTATAATACATACATACATAAGAAATAATTTAAAAAGTGACAAAAAGAGCCAGAGAAGGCAATTAAGAAGGTATCTCATGCTTGTATGTCTGATAAAACTATCACGAAAGACTGCAAAAACCACATCCTTGCACAAAGGTCATCATAGCCTTACACAAAAAGTATTTCTGCAAGGACATCTGCCCAGAAACTGCCTGTCCAACTGGATATCTACTGGGCCATGCACCCCGTCTGCTACTGCTGGGTGCTGGAGAACCTGGTAAAAGCACATTGTGAAGCAGATGAGGATTCTACATGTTAATGGGTTTAATGGAGAGGATGCTGAAGAGGACCTGCAGGCTGCAAGGAGCAACAGTGATGAAATATATTGTCTCTAGATGAGGGCTACAGTTTCTCATCTTCCTGGGTATGTCCTGTCTCAATTTGCATGCTGGAGTTGCTTGGTCTTAGGAACTTTTAATAAGAATACTATTCTGTTGTCTGTCAGGGGAGGGGGCAGCGGGTCCCTACTACCTGAACTTGAACTATGATTAAAAAAAAAAAAAAGAACTGAAATTTTTAATTGGTAAAAATGTTTGATGGCAACTTTCCAAAAAGGCATCTATATAAGAAATGACTAATTGACAATCTACTGTACCAAAATTTGGCATTTGAGCAAAATATGACAAGTCCTTAGTGAGCAACCTGCTGTGTACTCGATGTTGTGCTAAACCCTTGAATCCTACTAATACCTTGCCTGCATATATCTCTGTGACTCTGTTCTGCAAGTAAATATAATTATTAACATTTGTGATAAATAAAAATTCTCTGCATGTTTTAGCAAAACAATGAAACAAAACCAAACAACAACAACAAAAACCAGGCATCACCCTTGTCATCTATCTTTGTAGCCAAGGATGATTATTTCAAAATAATCACATAATTCCCACTTAAAAAAAAAACTTTTTTTCCCATTACCTCTTGAATATGCTTATAGTTTACTGTGGCATTTGTATTCCCATGGCAACACTCTATCCTCAAATAAATCTACTTTTCTTTTAGATAGACTCTCTATGTTTGTTATTTAGGTTGACATACATGGTTTCAGAAATAGAACCTGAAAAAGATAATGATTGAACGAAATTGGTGATTCTTGAACAGATGTGCAGTGATCACTGGAGCCTTTTGCATTTTCCTTTACTTCCTTGGCACACTTTTCTGCCCTACTGAGTCTTCTCTTAGGCTGAGCCTGCCTCTTTCAGTAAAGGCTTTTTGATATCAGTCAGGATCTGTTTTTTATATAGTTACCTTAATAAGGGACCATGCATCCCTCCTGGGGTAATAAAAGACTTTTTGTCTTTTGTGGTAAATCTTTTTTGGTGTAAAGACACGTGTCTTTCTGGATCGAGTACTCTGGTTCTACAGAAGTTGTGTTCTATCTCAGAGGCATGTCTTTTCTGGTGAATTCACTTTCGGTCTCTGTGCCTAGTTTAATATTTTGTTTGATTTGTATGCTGAGCTTGAAATTTTTATGAACACTCTTATCGTGGTTTCTTTTGATTTGGTGTGATTCTTTTCCGTTGTCTTTTTCTAAAATTATTCTGAAAGCAAAAATACATTCTAAATGGTAGGTGCAGAAAGGCCAATTAAAAGCCATGAGTGCAATTGCTACCATGTAAAACACTGGTCTAAACGCCTGACATTTCCTGATAGTAATGGTAGGAATTTCTTTGCTCTCAAGAGATGAGTAAGAAACAGAATGGGTTTTTTAAACATAAAGGCATGACAGGTTTTTGGGACTCCAGCTGGCCAAATTTTATGGCCCATGCTTATGCATACCTTAAAATTGATAAGCAACGTTACACCAAGAAAAATTCAGAGCCCAAATGTTCATTATTTAAACTGTTTATAAAGACCTGCAATGGTCATGCTAACATTTAGAGCCTTCTTAGTTATCTCTCTGTCTCTCTCTTTTTTCTTACTGCCTACTTGAATTTGCTGACTTTTTACTGGCGTTGACATAAAACTCACTGCTTATGGCATTCTAGTCAAAACTTTTTAAAACGTCTTAAAGGGGTTTTAAATTAATAGCTTCACAAATTATAAGAGCTCCATGGTTACCAACAACCTAGGCATCATTAGAAAATGTAAATTTAGGTTTACTTGACTAAGATTTGTTTATGGTGAAGAAATAATTTATTGAAAAATTAATAATCTATAAAAAGAACTATGTGCACATATGTGTGTGTGTGTGTGTGTGTGTGTGTGTGTGTGTGTGTGTATACATATATTAATGTTAGGCTCTCAGGT